GAGTTCATGTAGACAGTGCCAGAACCGGGTCGGACCGTAGGACATGCCCTTTGCGCCCTGAGATCAGGAGGCTGGGTGGGTGCGCCAACCACCTCCTTTGTTTGGTGTCAGAGCTCCGAGGGCTGGTCCTTCCTTTAGCACCATACAGGTGTGACCAAATCTGCCTGTTTTGCATGTAGCTTGTCAACTGGAGACTGACAGGTCACTGGCACTGTTCACAGTTGCCGCTAGGTGGGTCCCAGTGACCCCTGCCCATCACCAGCACATTCGGTGCTAAGTGCGGTGCACATCAAGGTCTGCTCAGGATAGAGTCTGGGGATGCTCAGGGTAAGCAGAACAAATACACTGAGATCTCGTGGAGGGCATCCGCAGACGGCAGCAGTGAACACCCGGGCAGGAGAGCCGGACGTGCTCCCCGAGGACTGAGCAGCTCAGTGTCCTCAAGGCGGAACTCCTTCCCAAATCGGCCTAGAAACCCAAGGCCCTCCCAGTGAGACCCTTGGGGTCTTTCATGGGAATTAACAACCTGGCTCTGATGGGCATATGGAAGCATAACTGCCAATAACAAGAGGAGCTAAAGGACCAGCTGGGCACCAAGGTTTACCCTAAAGCTACAGGAATAAATACCATTCAGCCTTCAGAGCAAGAATCCATGGATCCCCACTGATACAAGGTGGGGTGGAGCTGGTGGGCCACGTACTGAGTGACCCCTGCGTTGCCACGGCCCCGCGGCGAGTGTTTTCTGGGCTGAACCACAGCCAGTGTTTGAAGATCCTCCCACCTCCTGCTTGTGGGCTTTGCATCCCTTTGACTCAAAGTCACTAAATGCATCACAAACAGCTCCCAGGGAAGTGGCATTTATGTGACAGAAGCTAAATTCTGTTATAATGTTGCCCTCAAAGTCTTATGTTTAGAGAGAAAATGTACAAAGCTGATAATCAAAAATGGGAGATAAGATAATATTGAAAATGTGATGTTATCTCCTTGGCATTTACATCTTATTTCCAGATTAATCAGTGGGGGTCAAAGTAAAACAAAAAAGTGAGTTCTCACACATGGGCTTTTTTTTTTTTAGGGAAAAGTTTAAATCAAAGATACTTGAATACTTCAAAGCATTTGACAGAGTGTCTTCACACCTGCAAATAGGGCCCAAAGAAACTTTTCAGAAGCAGGGACCCCCCCCAAGGCCCATGGGTGCGGGTGGTACACAGCCTCTCCACAAGGGCCCCAGGAAGATGGCTGCAGCGGGGACCTGCCTGGGCCTCCTGGCACATGGCGCACTGACCCACGGGTAAGGGTGAGTGGGCCTTTATGGACACGCAGCAACCATGCGTGCTACGGCTGCTCCAGGCTGCTCCCCGGCACGCACCCTGCTCTAGAGGGGTTTGTGCCCCCTGAGGGGCCTTCAGGGAGACTTCTGTTATCAGAGAACTGAGGCCCAAGGTGCCCAGCACCCCAAGCCCCTGGAGAGGCTCACGAGGCAGCAGTACAGGCGAGCCTCCCCTGCCCTTGTCTGCATTTTCACATCTCTAATGCTGTGCATTTCCTGACAATCAGAAGGAAGCAAACGCTGAAGAAACCGCATGCCTGTAACCCGGGAAGGCGGACGCCAAGGCTCTCGTCCAGGCTGCTGCACAGCGGCTGGGCCTCGCCAACCCCACAGACCGCACACACCCTGACGCCAACCACCACCAGATCACTGACAGGGGGTCCCTCTGTGAGCGGGAGGGTGAGCCCCCAACCAGAAAACACGGCTAGGAATCTGTGCACTCACAGGTCTTCCATCCGGCCCACGCCCTGTGCTGGGGGAGGAGCCACAGCGCTCCCCCCGAAGGAGGCACTCCCCTCCTGCCCCCATTTTCCACCAGACACCTAATGGAGCTGGAAAGTCACTGTGTGGGGTCTCAGGGAGCCCTCCCTCCTCAGGACTGGACGGAACCTTGAAGGCAAACTGACCAGCACCAAGACCAGCCCCAAGAAGTTGGACCCAGGAAAGGGCGAGCCTGCCTGGGACATCCTGGGCCCATCGCATCAGGGGACAAAATCAGATGGCTTTCATGTCATCTCATGGGGGCAGCTGTCCAGCCTGTCTGTGCTCTGGGTCCCCACACTGAGCCAAGCAGGACGGCTGCCTGCTGGCTGCTGCAAGAGGATAGACAAGCACTTTAACTAATGGCTTTCGTGGCAGGGAGCCTGGCGGTCAGTGCAGTGCCTCTAATGGGCTGGCCATGCCGACAGCGCCTGTAGACTCCTGTGCAGAACCACCGCCGTGGGGGTGCGGGTCTCTGTGAAGGCACAGGGAGACCTGGGGAGAGGGTGGCTGGCAGGGGCAGGCTGAGGACAGGCGTGTGGGAGGCTCCTGAGTCCTGGAGGCTGAGCTGCGGTGGGACCAGACCTCCCAGGGCCGTGGCAAGCCATCCCCTGGTGGAGCAGCACCGCCGAGGACCGCGGCGCAGGCAGGGCAGCCCAGCTCACCTCCACCATGGCTCTGGCACAGGTACGGGAACCTCCAGATGTTGCCCAGGCCCACAGCAAAGCCCACACAGCTCAGCAGATACTGGAGCTTGTTTTCCCACCGGGGCCTCGCATCCCCGCCGCCGTCCCCAGGCGCGTCTGGCCCTGGGGGGTGTGCCATGCCACAGCTCAGCCCTGTCGCCTGCATCCGGAGCCCCGGGCCTCGGCCAGGTTCTGGGAGCCACCCACACTCAGCCCCGGGAGGACTTTTGCGTTAGTTAAAGGAAACCCAGTGGAGCCAGTTAATCGGTGACCTGGCCAGGCTGGGCCCTGACCTAGGCAGGCCCTCCCCAGCCCCACACCCTCCGACCCTGTGCCTCGCTCCCTGCCCTGGGCAGACAGCCGGCAGGGCAGGTACCATCCTCACTGGAGAACTGTTTCCAGCTGAGGCTTCCCGGCTCCTGTAGGAGACACCCCAGCACTCCTGAGAGTGGGGACATCTGGTTGTTTTCATAAAAATCACTGACTGAGTAACCTTTGACTCTGGGATAATTGTAGACCCACAGCTGGTGCTCAGTTTCCCCTCACGCGAACACAGAGACCTTCCAGCATCTCAGCTGGGATGTGACGTCCATATGTCAGGACGGCCTCGGGGGTCCCTCCTGCCCTTCCACTCCCATCTGTCCCACTGTCCGCACACCATGGTTCCGTCCCCTCCAGAATGTGGGATCAGGGTGGAACCCCGGGCCTGCTCGCTTCCTCAGCCGTTTGTCTAGGGACCTGCTGGGTGTGGCAGGACCAGCAGTCCCGCTTGTTCCTCCGAGAGGGGCTCCCACACAGGGTGCCCACTGCTCACCAGGCAGCTCCAGGGTCGAGTCCCCCTGGGGCTGTGAAGTGACGCGGTGAACCTCCATGCTCTGGCCTCCGTGTGGACATGGCACAGGTGCTGGCGGGACTGCAAGTGGCTTGTGTGTTTATTTTTAAGGCACGTTCATTCCTCAAAGAGATTTCCAAGTTTGAATGTGAACTGGTCCCAAATGACCGTCCTCTGAGGGTGAACAGGTGAGCTCCTGGGGGCCCAGACCTCTCTATGGGTCTGTCCAGCACCACCACAGAGGCTGCCCCTGGCCAGGCCCCACCGCAGTGCCTGGTGCCCACCTGAGCCCTGGGCGGGTGCTGGAGGAGGTGAGGGGCTGCGTCTCAGAGGGCTGCCCAGGTGGTAGTGGGAGTTGGGGTCAAGGGCTGCAGTGGGAGGTGCTTCATCCTCTTGACCCGGGTAGCTCTCTGGGGGCGGGTCTCCCCTTGCCCCGGCACCCACTGCCACCCTCGGCAGCAAGGCAGAACAGTGTAGCACCATGGCACCTGGGGGCGTGGACCCCCCTGTGTGTGTGGAGCCCCCACAGGTGCTTCCCCAAGGCCAGGCCGGGGCTCTGTGTCCATGAATTTTCACCTGGACCCCACGGCTCCCAACCATGCAGCCACAAGTCCACATACATGGTTCGGGGAAGTGTGAGCCCTGGTGGACACAAGATTCCTTCTTGGGTGAGAAAGAGAGAAATCAAAGAAAAAAAGGAGGGAGTAAGGGAAGGCGTGGGCCCGAGTCCCCTGCAAGGAGCTCCTTGCAAGGCCTCTCTGGCCCCACAGACACCCTGGGCAGTGGGTGGACTGCCTGCCTTACCCTGGGCTCCATGGGCATGGTTCCCAGCCTCTGAGAAAATCCCCCGAAGCTAGAGCACCGTTCCAGGCAACCCTTTGCAAAGGGCCCTGTGGTTTGCCTGTCCTCCGCTTTTAGACAAAAATTAGTCAAAGAATACAAAATCAAGTGACATCGAATGACAGGTCAGTCCCCGGGGCATGACCCCATCTCCTCTGGGCACCAATGAGCGTCTCCCTACCAAGGGTCTGAAAGCTTTGGGAAGAGGAGGAGGTAAGGTCTGCTGAAGCCATCAGCCCCCAGAGGGTGGAGGCGAGGGTGTGGGGGCCCATGGGCTTCCTGGGTGTGTATGCACCATGGTGGCCAGACTGGAGTGCCAGGCCAGCTGCCCACAGGGCCTCCAGAACTTCCTGAAGATCACGACACCCAGGTGGCCAGCAGTGTAAGAGGCCTCTGGACACGCCGAGCATCTGGAGATTCTGACAGGGGTGCAGGACTGGGCTCTGTGGGAAGGGCGGCGGTGCTTGGGCTGGGACAAACTCAGTGTGGGAGCACCGCGGCTCTGTGACCCACCCTCCACCCAAGGCCCCCATCCCCACCCGGAGGATCTCAGAAGGCCCAGTTTAACTTCAGCTTCCAGGTTCTGCATGGGGTGCGGAGGTGAGCAGTTCGTTGGAATGAACACCCCAAATGCCAAGTAACTTTGGCCAGGATGGGTGCCTCACCCAGAAAGCAGCCCCTGGTGGGGGGGGGGGGAGCCAGCACCTTCCCTGAGGGGCTCCAGGACTGTCCTCACCACAGTGCTGAGGCTGAGTTACCCTATAACCCGTCTTTTCCAACTTCTGGCTAAAGATTCACGCAGTTAGTGTCATCTCAGGAAAACGCACAGGAGTCTCTGCCTTATGTTAGGCCAGGTTGAGTTTTATTTAACTGATCATCTATTTGTGGCAGCTGCAGCAGTGCTTACACGGGCTAGCATTCATTAAGCCTGATATTGCCAAGACTCGGGAACTCCCGGCTGGCAGGTGCGCGACAGGCAGAGTCAGGCAGGAACGAAGGTTCTTCAAACTCACGGGCTCAGGGGCCTGAGGCCTCATCCAGACAGAGCACGAAAAGGGTGCTCCTCATCGTTGGGTAGAAGTGCCTGAATAGGAGACTGTGGGAGCTCCTAGCCCAAGGGCTCGGCAGCGAGGGGAAGGGGGGAAACAGCGCCGGCTGCCTAGGAGTCACAAGAGTGGCATCTCCCGTCCCCAGGTGAGCGCAGCGGAGGGGTCACCCCACGCGGCAGCTCTGGCCCTCCCACAGAGTGTGTGCCGGCATGGCAGGCAATTGTGCAGCGGGGCAGCAGGCATGTACACATGCATACACAGCTGCACATGTACATACATGCGTGTATACAAACACATGTACACAGCATGCATAGTCATACACACGCATGCATACAGCTCACATATACACGCTCACACATGTTCCTATATAAATACCAATACCCCCACATGTATACACATATACATGTACAAACATCCTCAAACACCCACACATATGTATACACTCATGTGTATATACACTCACATGTGCACACATAAAAACACACACTCGTGTGTACACACACATGCAAACACATGCACACATAGGCACACAGCCACAAATATAACATACATGTGGGCTCACACGTGCAGTATATGTGTGTGCACACCCACACTGTATATACACATGCATGTGTGCACATGTTCACTCACATGGATACACACAACTGCAGCCTGGCCCCTCCCTCCACACCCACCACCACGTGCCACAGGCTGGGCCACTCAGTACTTCAGGTCCCCATTGACGGAGGCTGTGGACAGCGAGCTGACCAGCCCCTGGCGGCCCCCTGGCTTCTGGCAGCAGCTCCTGATGAGCTTGTAGATGGCAAAGCCGGGGATGACGAGGCAGGGCACCCCAGCCACGATGACCACCACCCCATACACCCAGCCTGGGTATGGGATCTTCTGGGATTTGGGAAATTCCTCCTGGGGAGAGAATGAGTGTGGTGAGCGGGCATGTCAGCAGGCAGTGGGGTCTCCTTCAGGGCAAAATGTCCCTGGGCCAATGATTTCCACCCCTGGCCCTCATGGGGGGGAGGGAGGGAGACCCCCACGGCTCTTCCCGGGGACATGGCCCTGGCCGCCCCCGTCAGCAGGCCCAGCGTGCTCACGTAGGTGGGGTCCCAGACGCTGTATATCAGCTCCTCATTGACCTTGATCACGAAGAAGAACAGGAAGATGACCAGCATGAGCAGGGGGCTCACCACCCTCCAGGTCACCTGCCAGAAGATGTTGGGCTTGTGGCCGATCATAAACTCGATGTCCCTGTTGAACCTGGGAGTGGAGGCCAGAGGGGGTGGTCACCCGGCAGCCAAGTTGTCCACGCAGTCCTGCAGTGCCACATCCAGCCTTCCTCTCAGCACGACTGCCATCCTCCAGCCGAAGGCTCGCCTCCCAGAGGAAGAAGCCCCATCAGCACAGCACAGGCTGTCAGTGCACCTCTGGGACTGGCCCCTGCCCTGTGGTGCCACCAGTCCTAGAGGGACTCGCTCTAAGCCTGCCTTAGGAAGGCCCTTATGCAAAGCAGGGGTCTTCTGGGGTGGGATCCACATTTCAGGGGGGTCAGCACATCTGAGGGTCAGTATTTCTCTGGGAGGGGATGGAAGCCCTCTGAGTGCCCCCCCGTCACTGCCTCCTCTGCAGGCAGTGGCCGTGAGCTCAGACAGCCCCACCATCTCGGCCCTGCCCAGGCTGGACTCTTCTGTGCAAATAAGTGTTTAGAATTGGAAGGGAGCTTGCAAAACATCACATGGGCTCTGCAGGACCACCAGTGAACCCAGGGGACCCTGGAGAAGGGCTAATGCCTAGGCCTCATCCACAGGTGGCCCCAGCAGGGCTAAGAGCCCCTTAACTCCTGGGGGCAGCACCCCACGGCACCCCAGGAAGCGAGCACCACACTGTCCTTGTTGTTCAGACAAATGTGTGCCCGTGAAGATGATGACACGTCTGCTTCCAACCAGCTGTGTGATGGGCACCAGCACCACACATCTCCATCTCACACTCTTCCTGTATCTGTTGGGTGATGACATGGGGAGTCTGCCCGTGTACTCCATGGTGTCCCCCATGGCAGCTGCCCAGGCTGGTTTGCGTCATGTTGCCCAAATAAGCATCCAGCACGTGTGTCCTTGGAGCACAGACTGGCATGCCCCTGAATGTTAGTGGCGCCGGCAGATCACTTCTCATGTGGCCGGTCCCGTGCCAACCAAGACCATGTTTGCGGTCCCCTGGGCCCCACACTCTGTGACACTGGGGTGATGCCCTGAACATTTGGCCAGGGGTGAGCTGAAAGGTCATGTTTGCCCACCTTTCTTTGCCTGAGGCTGTCTGGTTACTGAGTCCTCTCTCCCCAGGCCCCCAGAGGACCCACCACAGATGCCAGCCTAACCATGAACCCCCAAGTTTGGATAAAACACCCAGCTCCCTGCCCTTGGGCACAGTGAGGTTCCACGGGAAGACAGGTCCATTACACATGCCTGGCTTCTGCCTGCAGCCCAGCCCCCAGGGAGCTGCTTTGGGGACCCTGACAGAGACCCCCTGGAGCTCCTGTGCTGCCTGGCCTCCCCCCACTGAGGGCTTCTTGGGGTACTTGGCACAGCAGGGCTTCACCCCCCTGTGGTGCAGTGCCTCTAGCCTATCACATGTCCCTGGGCCTTGGTTACAACTCATCCAAGCACACGCTTAGGAGGGAGGTGTTCGCTGCTCTGTGCCCTGTCCTTCCTCCAGCCTGTGTCCCCTGACTCTGCTGCCAGGGTTTGGGCTGTGCACTAGGTCTGGAAGCATCTGGAAGCCAGAGGGCTGCGGCTTGGATTGCTCTGGATGGCACCCACCCAGGGTCCCTCTCTTCTCCACCTCACTTGCCCTGGCACCAGGGGGACAGAGGGAAGAGCACAGCAAGGCGGCCCTGCGGCACTGGCCTCCCGCCTGCCCCAAGCAAAGCCCTGCTTCCCCACAGTGGGGATTCTGACCCCGCAGCCATCGCCTCCACCTTCCCTCCTACCTGTCCATTCCATACACGTAGACCACAGCGAACATCTCGCAGAAGGCAATGATGAGGAGGGGGATGGAGCCAGCATAGCTGTCCAGCAGGGACAGCCAGTACTGGCCGGAGTTCAGCGTGAAGATGAAGGCGATGAGGTACATCCCCAGGCAGATGAGGCCTGCGGGGCGGAGGGCAGGGCTGCTGCCACAGAACCCCCATACCAGCCCCGCGCCACGGGAGGCCCCGGCCCCTACCTGTGAGCAGCTCCTTCGGCCACTTTGCAGGCATGAGCTTGAGGTCCTGCAGGGGCACGACCACACCCTCCATGTTCCCGAACATGGACGACAGGCCCAGGCAGAAGAGCATGATGAAGAAGAGCACGGACCACAGCGGGGACACCGGCATCTTGGTGATGGCCTCCGTGAACACGATGAAGGCCAGCCCCGTGCCCTCCACGCCCTGCAGGGGGGAGGATGCGTCACCCAGGGCACCCATGCCCCAAGGCCCCCCACCACCTGCCTGGCCCAGGGTCTGAGAGCACTCGGGTGGCTTCTGCTCTGCCGCAGGGCCCCCTGCATGCATGCCTTGCTCCCACGTGGTCAGTCACCACCGGCCCTGCAGAAGCCACACCAGGCCAAGAACAGTCAGCCAGCCCCCAGGTATTGGGGTGGCTCCAAGTAAGAAAACTACAAGACTAAAATCAGTGAACGTCAGTCTAGAAAGCGCCACAGTATGTAAACGTCTCACTAATTGCTGGACTTGGTGCTCAGAGCAGCTGCTGGACGCTATCCTAGGTTACCCACAGCAGCCGAGAAACACCTGTCAATCCAATAACAGGTGCCATGGCTGCTGAGGGATGTCAAGAGCACAGTGACAGAGACTGACATCTTTATATGTGTTAGATTAAAAACAGACCATTGACAAGAGGCATTGGAGGAGGCCAGGCCCGTGGCAGCCCCCGGGCCCCTGCCTCAGCACCACAGGGCCACAGACACGGGGTTGTGGGGACCATTAGATGCTGGTGGCCCAGACAAGTCCCAGCATGGGCCCTGGGGGAAGCCCAGCGTCTGCCCTGGGGATGTCCTTGGCTCCCTGCCCCGAGGTGGGCGCCACCCCAGGGACACACCTCAGACAGGAAGGAGTTTATGTCACAGGTCTGGAACCTCAGCTTTGCGTAGGCCACGGGGTCTGTGGTGTTGCACCACCGCTGCATTTCTGCAAAGTTGTCCTGCGTCACATTGCTTTCAGGCAGGTCAAACCCGTTGATGAGCGTCAGGATGTTCCTGGAAAGAGAGCAGGGCTGACGGCCCAGATGGGCGCCTGCCCGATGGGCTCCTCGGAGGCCAGGCGCGGCACTTACGTGCTGAAGCAGCTGTCATAGCGCTCAGTGGCACGGAAGCCGATGATGGAGTAGACCACGGTGGCCGCGTACACAGACGTGAAGCCGTTGATGATGGACACGATGACCGAGTCCATCTCGCAGTTGTTGCTGTGGGTGACAGCAGCCTCTGGTCACGCAGGCCCTGTGCACTCAGTGGGGAGGAGTGCACAGCAGCTGGACATCTGCCAGTGCCAGCATGTATCCCCAGGCCCCGGCTATGGCACCCTGCCATTCATCCCATTCACAGAGTCACCCCCACACAGCCCTTCAAGCCCTGGAGGTCCTCCTTGGGCATCTTCGGCCCCCAAAGCCAGGGCTGGGGCCCGGCGTCCAGAGCCTGCCCGGCTTGCTCCTGGGGCCTAGCACCACCAGCCTGTACCTGCCTCCGCCTCTCGGGCCCACCCCAGGGGGCCCATCTCCTCCTGGCTGAGGGTCCACATCACCGCCTGCATGCCAAAGCCTTCCACAGCTCCACACGTCCAGAACACAGCCCCTGGCCTCCTGAGCCCCGCCCCCCACACCCCTCCCACCTGCTGATGCTAACACCACCCTGCTGGCCACCTCCGTCAGAAGCCTCGTCCACGGTCCTTGGAAATGCAGAACAACCTGCAGCGGACGCATGGTGGACACACGCCGCACCCACCAGAGTGGCCAGAGTCTATTGCAGATGGTAACAGGCGTTAGCACAGGTTTGGGGAAGTCAGGGCCCAAGAGGCGGGGCAGCCGAAGTCCACCTGATGCGGGCGAGCGTATGGTGGCTGGGCCGCCACCACACTCACCCTTGGCTCCTTCCATCCAGCCCCTGGGCTGCAGCCCCCATGGGCGGCCAGTCACCACTGCTCCTGTGGGTCCCAGGCCCCTCACCCCACCCTGAGCGTCTGCTGCCCTATCTCCAGCATCTGTACCCCACATGTGTTTGAGCCACCTGGCGGGGCACACAGCAGGTGCTCCACTGATGCCTGTGGAGGTGACCTGTGCTCCGGGGGTCTGGGCCTTGAGGGAGGGCCCTCTCCCTGTGGGTGTTGGTGTGGGGTGGACTGCGGGGGCCTGTGCATCTGGGGACCTGGATGCCAAGGAGAGACAGGCCAGTGGACGTAGGGAGAATGCCAGGGTCGGCAGGGAGAGTGCCAGGGTCGCTGCGGCCACATTGAGGCAGCAAGTAGCGTTCTGCAGACGGGCCTCACTCCTGAATCGCAGCCTGTGCCCACGGTGAGGGCACCCCATCCAGGGAACATCCCCACATCTTTCCCTGCTTTTCATCCCGGCAGCAGAATCCCACCAGGGAACGTCTGGGAGGCCTGCGGCTGGCCCGGCCCATGGCCCTCCCACCTCCACACTTACTGCACGGAGTTGTAGCTGGAGAAGGAGATGAGGCCCCCGAAGGCCAGTGAGAATGAGTAGAAGACCTGGGCGCCCGCGTCCAGCCATGTGACTGGGTTGGCCAGCTCTGTGACCTGTGTGGCCAGACAGAGGCCCTCAGCCTGGCAGGGCACTGGGGGCTGGTAGGTGACACAGCGCCATGGCCACCTGTCCACATGGAGCCATAGCGAGCCTCAGGCAGCCACCCTCAAAGGCCCAGCACTACGCATGCAACTGGGGCCAAGGACCGGCTGAGGGCAGCCTGGGGCCCAGGGAGTGTCTGGCCCAGCGTGGCCTCTCCCCACAGGTGTGGGCCCCAGACAGACAGTCGAGACTCACGTTGGGCGTGAAGAGGAAGACGATGCCATTGGTGGCACCCTTCAGCGTCAGGCCACGGATGAGGAAGATGGTAAGGACGACGTAGGGCAGCGTGGAGGTGATGTACACGGCCTGGGGGAGGGGCAGGTGTGGGAAGGGGCGGGGAGCCCGGCCAGAGAGGGAAGGGCTGCTTGCCACACTCCTGGCCCCTCCTCCTGCAGGAAGCTGGGGCCTCCCTCCTGGGCTCCCACCACTCTGTCTGCAATTGTGATTATAATTTAGCCCCTCCAGTTGTATAGATATTGTGGGTGACTTACTATCATCACCATCACTGCTTTTTAGCAAGCGTGTTTGAGAGCCACCAGGCCAGCCCGAGCCCCCAGGCGATCAGCAAAGCCTGGGGCAGCAGAGGACCCCTGGGCAGAGGGCATGCAGGGCCGTGCCCCTCAGAGCTGAGTGAAGTGTGGCAGCTCAGGCGAGCACCCACAAGCCACGCACCTTCCCGGTGGTCTCGATGCCGCGTATGGTACACACGTAGAGCACGCTCCAGGCGCAGGTCAGGCTGAGCAGGACCCACCACTGCACGGAGCCTGAGTCGCTGATGGACGTGGAGATGTTGAGGGTCTCCCGGTACCAGAAGTAGTCCACGGAGGAGCTGAGGGCACACTCCTCCACATAGCCTGGGGAGGGCGCACGCACACAGTGTGGCCACAGTGCAAGCTGAGGCCCAGAGGTAGGGGAAACCCAGGGCCCATGCTGCAGGTACCGCCGCAGGGACACATGCACACTCACACACCTGTGTGCACATATGCACAACAGGCACACAGACACGTGTTCATGCAGTGTGCCTTGCGTGCCTACATGCATTGCACGTAGATACATGTGTGTCTACACAGAGGCGCACCAGCACACTGGTGTGCAGACACGTGCATACATGTGCGCACACTTGCATGTAGGTCCATGTACACGCAGGTGCATGCACATATGCATACATTCGAGCACACACATGCACGTATGTGGTGTGCCCCAGGCCTGGACTGCCTGCCTTCTCCCTCTTGCCCCCATGCCAGGCTTAGCCAGGAGTCAGCGCCCTGGGCTAGACACTCAGCCATGCAGGTGGCCAGTTTCTGGGGCTCCCCAGCTGCAGACGGTGCTGGCCACTCTGACCTCACATGCTGTCCCCACCCCACCAGGGTCCTCATTGCCCCTCAGGCTCATGGAACCACAGTGAGCTTGCTAAGGGGGAAGCAGTCTAATCCTGGAAGACCTTCACCCCATCCCCTGAATAGGTCCGAAGGGAGGCCATGGGGTAGGCCTGTCCTCTGACCCGAGGGGAACCTTGCAGGCCCCCACAGGCATCTGGAGAGATCTGTACCCTAAGCCTCACTGGCCACTGCCTGCCTTGCGGACCCCCTGCTGGCAAAACACGCAGGTCTTGCCTGGGCTCAGGTGTGCACACAGCTGCAGGGCTGAGCGCGACCCCAGCCCCCAGAGGCAGGCAGTCTGTACCTCTTGCTCTCCCCCCTTTGGGGGTCCCTGAAGGACCACCTGAGGAGGGCTGGGGACCCTGCCAACCAGGGGACTCCAGAGAAGAAGGGGGAAAGGTGTGGAGCACCAGGACACCACCTGTGAGCAGCCTTCTCCGGAAAGTGCTGCACACTCCTGGCTGGTGGCCAGGACCCCACACGGGATTCCTCACAGCAAGGCTGGAGGCCGGGTCTCTGGGCTGGGCAGGGTGCTGTGCGGGGGGGGCCCTGCCCCTCTCATCCCTAAAGGCCTGCCTGGGGCTCTTAGAGCTCTTCCACACCATGGTTTTCTAAAGGCTGTTTCCTCAAACTGGCTCTGGGATTGGCCAGACCTCAGCTGTAGCCCTCCGGATTTTAGGAAATTGGGGGTGATTGTTTGGGGACCATCGATCTGCATGTGCAGAGGCATGCTGTGGGCTCACCTGTCCGGTTGGCATTGAGCGGGCAGTCGCTCCAGGGCAGCGGATCCTGGAAGGAGTTGAAGAAGTACCACATAACCCAGGCGATGATGGTGTTGTAGTAGAGGCCCACCATGAAGGACACGAACATGGACGCGATGCCTGGGGGACAGGGCTGTCACCGTGGGGGCCAGCGCTGTGGGGGCTCAGTGCCCGAGCAGGTCAGTGCTGGGGGTCAGTCACTCTGTGGGGGCCTTCTCACAGATTCTGAGTGGACAAAGGAATTCCAAAGAGCAGGCAGGCAGCACTGGACAGGCCATGGGGGTTGGTGGGCTGCCCCATGTCCATGCCCCATTCCCGAGGCACCCTGGGACTCCGGTGGGTGTCAGGGGCGGCCAGCAGTGGCCCTGGCCTGGACCCTGCAGCCTTCCTGCCTGTGAGATTCTAAGGAAGGGTTTGCAAAGGCCTCGGGGGTTGAATCCTGGGACTTGCCTTTACCCAGAAGCAGCTGGTGACAAAGTGGGGAAGCCCCAGAAGGGCCCCCAGGCCAGACAGACACGCACCTACACCCTTCAGAGCGGGGTGGATGGCGCTCCAGACGCCCACGCTGCCCTTGCGCAGCCTCTGCCCTATGGCGAACTCCAGGTACAGCAGCGGGATGCCCTCCAGCACCAGCAGGATGAGGAACGGGATCATGAAGGCCCCTGGTGGGGAGGGGGTGGTGACGTGGCCATCTCCCGACCGAGGGCCGCATCACAGAGACAAGCAGGTGCTGTTTCAGGCAGCACCACTGCCTGTGGCACAGTGCTGGGCAGGGACACCTCCTGCACCCCCGCCATGTGGGGGTCAGCCATGCACCTGCTGCATCTGGGGCCACCTCGCCCTGAGCTCGCACGGACCTGCACCCAGGAAGGCCCACGTGCACCCCCACCGCCTTGCCTCCCCGGCTGAACCAGCACCCTCCCTGTCCTCCACCTTTGCCCGACACTCCTGTTGGTTCCCCTCCCACCGCTCACTCCTGCCTCACCTCACCCAGTGCCTCCCCAGACTGGTCTTCTGGTCAGGGCATGTGTCAGACCCTGAGCCAGAGTCCTCGGTGGGGTGGCGGTGTGTGTGCAGGCATGTCCCTGTATGCAAGTGCATGGGTGTGCATGTGCACATATGGGTGCCTGGGAATGTGTGTGCATGTGAGTGTGACAGACAGAGACCTGGGGGTGCAGGGCAGAGACAGTAGGGGTCAGGTACGCAGCCCCTCTAGGCTGGCCAACTCCGCCAGCCCCTGTCCCCTCCGCTCCTGGGCTGACTCCCAGGCCTTCTCTCTCTGTCCTCCGCCTTGTCCTGCTGGGTGGACAGGCTCCTGGGGCCCAGCAGCGCTTCCTGCCACCCATGGACTGTTCTCAGTCCCCCCACTGGGACGACCCCCATGCAGGCCTCCCTCCCAACCTGGGGCACCAGGACCCACTCAGCCTGAAGGTGAGGAATTCCCAGAAAGCAGGGACTGTGGGCCACACCTGGGGGACATTAACAGTAAGGGACCACGAGGACAAAGCAGAGAGTGGTGATCTGGTGCCAGCAGAGGAAACCCTGGGGGACCCTGGGGAGGAGTGGGAGCTGCCTGGGCCCCAGGCTCATGGTCAGGAAGCGCGGTGGCCCAGGGGCACCTGCTCACGGGGTGGGCATCAGAAAGGGTGAAGCTGCAGTAGGGATAGAGTGGCATCTTCCATGTGGGACAGAAGCATGTGGGTCCCCCGGCACCAGGCTCAGCTATCAGCAGGCACAGTCAGTGAACCCAGAGGAGGGTGGGCGGGCCGGCACACACCTATCCCACCCCCAAAGGCAGGCCTGGGCCAGCCCCAGAGCTACCGGGAGGCAGGAAGCCTCTCACGTCCTCATGTTGGGGTGGGGGGACCTGTCTCCTGGCACCCACAGGCCAGGCGGCATCTGGTGTGGAGCAGGCACTCAGCCCCGCTCCTTCTAGGGACCAGCATGTTCTGAGCTCTCTCAAGAAAGTCAAGCAATGCTCTTTCCAGAAGCCAGAGGGGAGCCAGACAGCTGGGGCTCCTTCCTCCTGAGGGGGGAGGCAAGGAGGAGGGGGGCAGATCCCCGGAAGGAAGGAGAGTGCCTAATTGCCAGGCAGGCGCCCGCATGGTTCCAAAGGTCCTCGGAGACTGCCTCCCTGGGCTGCCTGGGAGCCACGAGCATGTGCCCTTCCCTCCCCTGACGCACAGAGGCAGAGGGGGCGGGCAGAGCGAGGGGAGCACCCATCCGCAGAAGCATGGGCACCCTTGTTTCAGGAATTCACCTGCTTCCCCCCAGAGGCCAGAAGAGGAGGCTCGAGGGAGCAGCAGGTCTCCTGCCAGGTCAGGGCCTCAAGAGCAATGCTCCGGGTAGGCTCCGGGCAGAGGCTGTGGAAACGACGCCCGGCAGCCCCCACGGGTGTGTGCCACCAATGCGCACGGACCAGTAAACCGGGTGCCTCTGTGGGCGCGAGGGGCAGAGGACCTCTCCCAGGCGCCCATGCAGGGGCTGGGGTCCCCGCCTCCCAGTCCCCTTCTGTCCCCTGCGGCCAGAGGAGCATCTCTGCTCTCCCCTTGCCCAGGGCCTCCCCTGCCAGCTCTGCTGGCCTCCGGTCCAGACGTACCACCCAGAGCAGACCTGTCATGCGACATGGTCCCACGGGTGGCACTGGGCCGCTGCAGAGCCACCTCTTGAGGGGACAGGGCAGTGCTGGGGGCCGATGCCCTCCCTGGGTCTGGCACCCTGCTGGCCACCCAGGTTCAGTGCTGTCAGGCCTGTTGTCCAGTCTGGGGGATCCCAGTCAGCACACAACAGGAAAGGCACCTGGTCTGCCCACCCTGGGGACAGGAAAGCACACAGCCTCTGGCAGAGGAGGCCTGGGGCAGAAGGCAGCTTGCCAGGGTCCAGGTGGGGACCCCAGAAATGGGACCAGCCTAGGCCCCATGCCAGGGGCCCTGCTCTGCCCTCCTGTCCTAGGACTGCCCCCTAGGCCATCCCCAGGCCCTGAACGCTCTGTCCCAATAGGCTGAACCCTCACTGAGGCTGCACCCTGGGATGGGTGTGCACAGAGGCTGGATAAGGAGGTGGAGTCTCCACATGTGGGGCACCTCCCTGGAGATGTGGGTGAGCTGGGAGGGCAGGATGGGCAGGGCCCTAGATTTAAATGCAAGCACCCCCCTCGGCCTGGGGAGGACAGAGTGCGTTCATGGCCCCATCCGTGGGCTGGCTGGTTGGCCTGATTAATACTGTGATGAGCAGGCTGGTGGGGAGCAGTGTATGAGGGGCTTACCAGTCTGGTGGGGCTCCCAGAAGTAACCCCTGGTGGCCAGATCTGTGTCACCGCTGCCGAGGGATGGCTAAGGAGGAGCCCCCAGATTGGAGCCCACCCTAGACGTGGGTGGGGTGAGGGCAGCCCGCAAGCCCAGGGAGCAGGTCACGGGGCCTTGGGGTGGGGCAGCAGGAGGGAAGGCAGAGGGAGAGCCCAGCCCCCACCCTGCTCACCAGGCTGCCTCCTCCCAGCCCAGCCTGCCCTGGCCTCCCCTGCCCCTAGACAGCCAAGGCATTCTGCTCACACGGGCCTGGGGAAATTCCGAGGCACTGCCCATTCCAGGCCATCCCCACCCCACCCCGTTTTCTCCTACCCCATGCCCAGTGCTGCTACTGCTGTGTGGCCGAGAGGCCCCTTGGGGCCGGGGCGCTGGGTGATTTGTGCCCACCCAACGGGTTGTGCAGTGTGAGCATATCTGCCTCCTGGGGCTCAGACCTCCTTGTTAGGCTGCAGGCAAGCACAGCCCCCGACGCCAGCGTGGCTGCCATGAGAGAGGCCCAGGGACACGGCAGATGGCGAAGCCCGCTTGGGAAGTGCTCTCTCCTGGACACCAGGATGCCCAGGGACCAACCAGGGTGACCCAGGATGGTGGACCCCTGGCATGGTCACTCAAAGCCACATGGCAGATGTGGCCTCCAGGTGTGCGTGCACACTGCGCCCCTCCCCACCACGGACAGGACAACAAGGTGGTGCTGATGGCTGAATCTACGGCGCCTGCGTAGGTCTTCAGTTTCCTCTGCTTTTCTGTGTTTAATCTTTTTCCATGATATAAAGTTAAACATAAAGTGAATGATCATTTGTTTTACTTTCCGATTTACCCAAAACTCCTAGAAATAATTGGAAGCAAATTCCATTTTCACCAAACCACGACTGATTGTCAGCTTGAAAGGCCACGAGGACCCTCAAATCTGTCACTTTTCTTCAAGGCACAGAACTGCACCCCTCCCCCTGAGCTGCGGCTGTGGGTGACACGTCACCGTGAGAGCTCACCAGCCAGCCATGGGCAGCCATGTCAGCGTCCTCAGTGACAGTCTCTGGGGCTCTGAGGGTGAGGGCAGTGGAAGCCCTCCGGGGGGCGTGGCCAAGAGAGGGGGCACACGGAGGGCACCCCAATGCTAGTGCGGCCCTGCAAAGGAGACTGGGGGGCCCGGAGTGGACAAAGGTGGGGGCAGCAGCCTCACCCAGGATGGCAAGGCCAGCCCCCCACTGGCCTGAAGCAGAGGGAACAGGGACCCTGAGCTTTGCCGACAGGGCGGGGCAGCCACACGGCACCCTCCAGGGTCTCGGCCTCTGCAGGGAGAGTCCTGCCTGTGGTGTCTGGAGGCGGTGCTCCCAGGTGGCCCCCTCAGGCCCACAGCGAGCACGCCCAGGCATTCCTCCGGCTCGGTGGACAAGCCTCTGGCCCCACCCACACAGTGGATCCATCCCGAGGGGCCCCAGACCCCACGCCCCGCCAGAGCCCCAGGCAGGGGATGTGGTTGTCCCTCCCCCACTGTTGGGAGGAAGCCCTCCTGTGTGCTGGGCACCCATGGGAACTAAGTGGGTGCCCCAGGTGTAGGGCATGGCCGGGACCCTCCCCCAGGGTGGCCCTGGAGGGACAACACCAGGAAGTGTCAGAGGGAAGGGGCCGCCCAGCCTGGCTGGGGGCAGCTGGCAAGTGGGACCTGGGGACTGTTGGCTGTTGGCGACTGTGCTGCTGGGGACCCTCCACCTCACAGGGGGCTCCTGGGGTCCCGTCCTGCTCCCCACAAGGTCCAGAGCTCAGGCAGGGCTGAAGCGTGTAAGACACACCCTCCCAGACCTTCTGCAGTACAGGTCCAGGGCAATGCGGGGTTGCTGAGACTGACCCAGGCGCCCGGCTCTGTTTTCCCCAAGGACACCAGGTGACAGTCTGCAGGTACTTCAGTTAGAAAGGAAAGAACCCCACCAGCTCACGTCACCAGAGCATCGTCCTTAAGGAGACACCCCAAGCCTAGAGCGTCCCAGAGCATCCTCCACCTGCCCACACCTCCTCCTGCGCTAAATGCAGCCCCCTACTCAGGGCTGGGGGCTCCTGGAGACAGTGGCCTGGATGCGTGGGGGTGAGGGAGACCTGGAGTGTAACCTCCACCCGTGCAACCTGTGCATGCCGGGAAGGTGTGTGGAGGATGGGGCCACGGGGACTCAGAGCTGGCACCCCAGGGCTCTGCAGCTGCAGAGCAGCAGCCCGGTCCACGGAGGAGACCCCTGGGCACGGCAAGACCCTCGGAGGCCTCAGGGGTGGAAGGGGGGTCCCAGCAGGAGTGCCCTGCCTGTGGGTCAAGACCCTGCCCAAGTGCCCTCCGTGGGTCACCTGCTGCTGTCCAAGCCCCTCCTCTGTCCATCAGGGGACCACTGCCTGCCTGTGGAGTCAGGACCATGTGAGCGCCCACAGGCCAGATGCACCACAGGCCCGCTTACTGCCCCTCATACCAGAACCTTACACACTCTGGAGGGGCTCCCCCAGAGGTCCCCCACACCCAGGTCACAGCTGTTCTCTGGAAGCCCCCTAAAACATGGGTGTACACTCACCAGCCCCTTGGGGCACAAGCTGCGACATGTGGGTGCCTGAGCTGCCCTCCAGCCCAGCCAGCCCTGCCCTCTGCTCCTGGCCTCGGGTACTGCCCGCCCCTGGGGCTGGGCTGCTGCAGATGCCCTCCAGCCTCGCCCGGCCCGCACAGCCCCCATGGCCACCCGGCTCACCTCCACCATGGCTCTGGCACAGGTAGGGGAAGCGCCACACGTTGCCCAGGCCCACACAGAAGCCCACGCAGGTGAGCATGTACTGAGCCTTGTTGTCCCACTTGGGCCGCGAGCTGGCCTCCTCCTTCTCGATGCCCCCCAGCTGGTCCAGGGATGGGATCCGGTCCTCCAGGCCCGGGTTGGGCAGGGTGAGCCTCGGCATGGTGGTCGCTGGGCGGGGCCCCGTGTGGCTTGTGGTGAGTCCCAGAGGGCGAGTGGCCACAGCAGGAGCCCTAGCACTTTATAGGGAACCTTTGGCACCTCACCCCAAGGGCCTGGCCGAAAGGAAGTGTCAGCAGATCCGGAGGGCGAGCCCGAGACTGTTAATGCCTTATCTGCAGAGGCACCCGCCGACCCTCCAGGCCGTGGCAGGGCCGGCCTGCCCCTCCCTGCGCAGACGCCCGTTGCACAGGTGAGCTGCCCCCGCCCCCTCGCAGTGCTGCTGGCAGATCCCGCGCAGAGGCCCAGAGGATGTAGCGAGCGCTGCCTGGCTGTGCTGGACATTGGCTTCCCGAGACAACCCACAGCCACACCTGCACATGCAGGAGGGGTGGGCAGCAGCCCTCCCCCCAGCTCTCTGCCAACACGCTGGGTGTTGGGGCATCCCCCCAACCAGGTGCAGAGACAGGGCTGGAGCCTGGCCCCAGGGGCAGCCACTGCCCAGCTTATACTGAGCTGGGAGCTGCCCAGACCCCTCCTGCTGAGCTCTGGGTTCTAAATCTCTCCTCAGGAAGCCTGGATCCTACCCGCATCAGGGTACTCAGGGCCACATTGGATGTGGGGGGCCTCTGGGTTGGGCCCATAGGCCCTCCCCGCCTGCCTCCCAGCCTCCCCAGGGGCTGCAGGATTCTGTACTCCACTGAGCACCACGTATGGGGCAGCCCGAGCAGGACACCCGGACAGGGTTGGGACACACGTCCCAACCTCCGAGCAGAGAGGTCAGGCACAGGACACAGGGAAACCAGCCACACATCCAGAGAGTGATGTGACCTCCACCTGGTGACCTCAGGATGGAGGAGCGCCAGAGGCACAGCACCGAGGCTAGGGGGGCAGGCGGGACCTGCCCAGGGTCTGAGCTGAGACCAAAGTGGAGCAGGGCTCCTGAGTTCGCTGAGTGGATGGGATCCCCTCCCTGCTCTGGCCGTGCGCCTGGTCGTGGCCTCACCCACGATCCTGAGCTCAGCCACCCTGCCTGCCTTCTAGTCACCTTCTCAGGTTAGTGACAGGCCACACCCATCCCTCAGCAGGGCCTCTCCCTGGAACGCCCTTCCTGCAGCCTCTTTCCAGCTTCGGGGTCAGCAGCCTGCAGAGCCCTCCCTGATGGCTGGGGCTTCCCAACCTGCTGCACTGGCCTTCCTAGGAGGATGCCAGTCACCCCACCTCTGTTTGCACATCTTGTCAGTGGTCTGGGCTGCTGGACGGCTGTGCCCCAGCCTCCACGACCACCCTGCACAGCTGGTCCACACTGACATTCAAGGACAATCCAGCGAAGGTGGGTGAGGGTCACAGGGAGTGGAGGGTGTGTTCAGGAACCAGACCTTTGCCCCCAGGACAGGGGAAACTGTAAACGGGTGGGGGCTGGAAGCAAAGGGTCAGTTTAGCATTTAGGGACATCTGCTTCCTCAGACAGGCAGGTAGCCTGGGTGGAGGCCACTGCACAGAGACAGAGACAGCGACAGAGAGATGGAGAGACACAGAGACAAGAGACACAGATGGAGAGACAGAGACAGAGATGGTGAGAGACAGAGAGACAGAGGGAAAGAGATAGAGATAGAGATAGACAGAGATAGAAGGACAGAGACAGAGACAGAAAGAGAGAGACAGAGAACTGCAGGCAGGGCAGGAGGGAGGCTGCCACAGCATCTGACCACGCTTGAGCTCCCAGCCCTCCCACTCAGACCCTACCATCGCCTCCGATATCCCTAAGGGCAAAGGCCTTGGTGGCCTGGCCTGGCCTGGCTGACCTCTGTGACCTCTAACCTGTTTCCCCAACTCCTGCCTGCAGCCCTCAGGGGTGGTCCTACCCCCCAGGCCTCTGCCTCCCACCCACAGCCAGGTGCTCCCCGGCTTCTCACCGTGGCCTGGCCACATGCAGGCCACCCCCATGCTTGACACGCTGCTCCCCAGTTCCAGGGCCATTGTCTCCCCATCAGCTGCCCTCTTCCTTCTAATGTACGTCGAGGCTTACTTAGCCCCTTGGCTAACCCATATTGTCTGGCCCCACTGGAATGTGAGGCCCACGGCAGGGTCTGTGTCCTGGTCACCACCGACGCCTGAGGCCTGTGGAGGGCACCTGCCACTCGCACGCTCTCCATGTGAGGGTGCCGGCACCGGCGTCCCAGGGACTAGGGAGCCCAGAGAGGTGCTCCGTGGCCTTTGTGACAAGGGTCAGTTCCTGTCCAGAACTGTGGGGTGTAGCACAGGGGGCTAGACGATCTGATTCTACGAGCCTCTTGCTTTCCCTGAAACCGTATTATTTGAAGACAACCAGAAGGACTGCAGCCAGTAAAGCCACAGACAAAGCCCCTAGTCCCCCACCCCACCCCAGAGTCCAGGGACCTCACTCAGCTGCTCAGGCCCCTCCACGCCTCCCTCAGAGCCAGGCACCACGAGAAGCTACCCTCGTCCACCTCGGGGATGCTAAGCGGGGCTAGCGGTGAGGCCTTCTCAGGAGCGGTCTCTGTCCTGCCAGCCTCCGGGCCCCCCAGTAGGTGCGGCCTCTCCCTCAGCTTGCGCCTCACCGCGATGCCATGACAACTGTTATTACAGAAGAAACACATGCTCAGGAAACATATGAGAGTCAGCCACAGCTGGAGACAAGCACACGGATTTCTCCGTGTTCCCCACACACCCAGCTAGCAAAGAGGCCACCACCCGGCTCACAAGAGGGGCCCAGCCAGTCCCCTGGCCGTCCCAGGGGCACCCCCACCCCACCTTGGCACCTCTGTCTTTCGGGGTTACGGCCACTGAAGTCCCACTGTGGCTTTCATTTGCTTTTCCTTGGTGGCCATCCTGTGCATTCACTGGCTGTCAGCTCTCTACCATGAACCCCATCTAAGTGTCCTTTCCTATTGGGATGCCAGCTCCTTCCTGTTCATCCTCAGGATGCCTTACTATGTTCTGGGGCGCAGCACCTTCCCTACTCACTGGGGTCCTGGGTGAAAGGACTTTGTCATCCAAGCACCTGCTTCCAGCCTCTCTTTGCTGCTTGAGGTCATGAAGGCATCTCTTGTGCTGTGTTCTGGAAGCTGCTGTGCTTCACCCTGAACATGAAGGTGACCTTCCTCTTCGCATTGTGCACCGGGAGGCAGCAGTCGGGACCCTTTCCTGTTTGGGTACCAAATGACCAGGCACCACTTCCTCAAAATGCACACACACACCCTTTCTGCAGACCTGCTCACTGGAAACCCTGGGCTCCTGCCTGCTGCTCTGTCTCCTCGCCTTGCATGTGGGCAAGCGGCCTTTTTGTTAAGGCATGTGGCCATAATTCCCGTGGCTTTATAATTCTTTGTATCAGACGTTATCGCTTAATTTAGGCCTTCTTTCTCTTAGTGTTTTATAGGTTTTTGTGAGGAGGACTTGAAGAGTATCAGACATTATCACTTAATTTAGGCCTTCTTTCTCTCAGTGTTTTATAGGTTTCTGTGAGGAGAACTTGAAGAACTTTCATTAGATTTATTCTTGGGAATATGATTGTTTTTGACACTTGTGAATGGTGCTTTCAAAAAAAAAGTTTATCTTCCTATTGTATATTACTGATATACATGGCGATACAATTGCTTTTTGTATATTGACCTTATATCAACATCTTTTCCTAATACTTTTAACCATTGATTTTTAAAGATACTTTCAATACAAAATTATGCCAACTGAAAAATGACAGTTTTATCTAATCCTGTCCCGCCCTTTCATCTTTTATTCTCTTGTTTCTCTTGCCTCCTTACACGTGTCCAGCACAAACCTGGTAATAGGGCCTCCCTTCCCTCATTTCTCGTCTTGCCAGAGAAGCCATCAGTATTTCACTGGTGGGGCCAGTAGGTATGGAGGCTTTTGTGCGAACTCTTGTCAGATTAAGGGACCCTCTTCTCTTCTACTAAGAGACTTTCTTACTTTTGTGTAGCAGCTTTATTGAGATACGAGTACCACAATTTACAATTCACTCGTTTTAATTGTACAATTCACTGTTGAGTAAATTCAAGGTGTTGTGCAATCATCACCTTGCCCAGTTTTAGGACATTTCGTTCCCCCAGAGGGAACCCCTACCCTTTAGCGGCGGCCCACCTCTGAGGCCCTGCCTCACTGCAAGTGGTGAGCTTTATGAAACGCGTTTCTATGCTTCTGAGATGGTTATGGACTTGTTCCCCTTTATTCTCTCAATGTGATCATTACAGTTTCATTTTTAGATATGGACCCACCGGACAGTCCTCAGATAATCCCACAGATTAATGTAGAGCTTTTACATCCATGTTCCCTGACCATATGAGTCAATCCGTGATGTGGATTATTTGTGTGGGTGGATTGCTGGGAGAGCATCGCAGGGCCACAGGCTGCCCCTGTGTCTGGGTACGGATGGCAAAGTGCCCCCTAGGAAAGCTGAGTCACACCCCACCAATAAGACATGGAATAGTCCACGCACCACAGGGCACTAAGAGCAGATGTTATTAATATTATTGTTGAAAAATCTTTGCTGATTTCATATAATTTTTAAAATATAGTTGAAATGGACCAGATAGTTTATTGGAGCCTTTAATTAAGGTTTGGTGGACCCAAACCTTAATCAATTTTATGTCTCTATCAGATTGTAATGCAAGAGGGCCCATGCTCTGCTTCAGACATTTATACATTAGCAGTAAAAGAGGGCATTCGGCTTTCAGGTCAGTGGGAAGGTTGAAGCCAAGTTGTGACCTCTTCCTGTGCTGGGCAGACAGCCAAGGCATGAGGGCCTTGCTCCTGGGACGTCCATAAACACAGAGGAGCAGGACGGCGCCCTGAAGCCCCAGGACCACAGGCACGAGGGGCATGAGTTGATCATTAGCTACTCTGTCGGCCGGCCACACGCACGCACCGCCCAGGAGGACAGGCCTCCCCACGGGTGAGGGCGGCTGGGACGGTCCCGTGATCCCCAGGCATTAACCTTTGTCTTGAGGCTGGTCGTTTGTTTTCATGCAGGAGCCGTGTTTATAAGGCTTGAGTTACTGAGTAGTTAGAAGTCAGGGCGTTTGCGCTTCCTGCCCCCACCAAGCCTGGATGCATTGACTTCAGGCCGGAGTTAAGTCTGCG